CACTGATCACTGGAACTGTAAATAAAGAATTGGTGATAGAACTAGAATGCCCTCACATGGGAGGGATGGGAGATGTAGATAGGGTACTGATTGCCGACCTTTTGATTGTTGATGACTAAGATACTTGATAATATTCAAATATTTTGCTGTTCTACTCTATAAAATGCTATGACTTAAATTGGTTTTTAGTGATACAATGCCAGACAAGCTTAGATTACATACAGTTATTGTGCCTTGATCGACAGATTCACTCGATCACAAAATAGTTTGCGTCTGAGTGAATCTGTCGGCGAAGGCTCAATGATGTATCACCTATGATGATGGCTACATCTCTCGCGTGCCACTACTTTTTCATTGGTACCTAAGAGACCACAAATATACCAAAATATACAATTCTCAAGTTCTAAATCAACACTTTTTGCAAATGGCCTTCTAATAGGAGTTATGCATGACCCTGAAAGGTCACACATCTGGGTACTTGCATGACCCCAAAAGGTTACACATCTGGGTACTTGCATGACCCCAAAAGGTCACACATCCTGGTACTTACATGACCCCTAAAGGTCACACATAATACATTGTGTTGCATGGTAGACTTTTTTTTAAATAAAATCTCATAAATAGCAAGTTAGCCCCTTCAGGAAATGCCAGGATGGGCGACCTTTAGGGATCATGCAAGTACCAGGATGTGTGACCTTCAGGAGGTCATGCAAAAAGACTGGAACACTTACTGGAATACAATGTGTTGCATTACTGCTTTTAAACACAGATTTTTATTATTGATATGTTAAATATGATGATGATGAAACAAACTTCAATCTCTTTTTTCATAGATTAGATAGACCCTTAATGGTGAATAAACAAATGGAAATTTAAGTGGTCAATAGATGTGAAGCTAAAAAGGGAAATATTTGAAATTTCTGAAAATTGATAATGGGAGCAACAAATGTTTAAGATATAAATTTCAATAGAAGAAAAATTATGGATGAATGCAATCAGATCTCATTCCATGATAAAATAATCATTTCAATGTCTATCACCTTTCATGAAATAAACTCATAAAAGCTTTTATTTTCAAAAATATTGATTAAGACTTGTAGCTAATATTGTTCATTTCATCTAAAGTTAAAAAGGTAATTGTGGAAAAGTGCAGAAAAAATGCCCAGTATCTCATTACTTTCTTTTTTCCTAGATTGACCACAAAGACATTCTACATTGGTTTCGCTTTCAGAATGTGTAAATGCAATAAAAACATGATACCGTTTTATGACCCATTTCATTTTGATCAACCTTATTGTAGCTGTATGCTGATATAGCTATATGCTGATATAGCTATATGCTTTGCTAATATAATTTGTTGTTTAATTGTTTATTGACGATGCAACATTAGCAGCATTTCCCAGGTAGACATTAAAGGCTTGAAATTTTGCATCCTATAAACCTTGATTATTGAAAAAAGATTCCTGTAAAAAAAAAATGTTTCTGCATGGAAATGTAATTACAAAATTCAGTATTATAAGCAATGTCATCTACTCACATTCAGGTTATTGGCCACTATGAATATATTTGATGTGAACTTGAAAAAAATGCATTCACATATACAAACTCACCAGGAGCTTTTCAAACAAATTTCCATGACAGTATAAAAACAAATTTGCTTTCTTTAAATTTAAAGTAAAAAAAAATTAAAAGACACAGTGGCCATGGTTTTATAAAAGATAATAAAAACTGCAAGATATCAACTTTGACAGCAGAATTCATCTTTTTCTTCGTTTAGACTGACTGCCTGCTGCAGACTCTGATGATTTTCTTTTTCCAATTCCACTACTACCTTCATTTGTAAATAATCTGTAAGTAGTAATGAATTAAGGAGAAACATATGCTGTGTAGAAAGGCAACTTCTTTTTTGTTAAAACACTTGTTAATGTATACAACGCATGTAAAATGCACTGCTCAAAATTTAAAACTGAAAGATGCAGACGGTTCCTGGTTTACCAATTTGGGTATTTAACCTAATGTATGGCACACAAGATTGTGGGTTTGACTCGCATGCTTAAATGCACACTCAGAAGTGCAAAAAAAGTACATTCTGCCCATTTGCCCCAGGCTTGCGGCATTCGTATTTGAGAGTATGGTGTCTTTTCAGATAGGAATGTAAAGCTGTTGGTCCTGTGTACTGTTCCTATCCTCAGTGCATATAAAAGTTCCAGTTGTACTTGT